ACTGAAATCTTAAAACAGATGACATTAAGTTTTCCAAACGTGACATTCCTATCTATAACCCCCAGTCACAATATAGGCCCACCAGCAATAGTACATCACGACCCTGACATGAGGACATCTATTTTCAGTCTATCTTACTTATCTGCAAGTTTGGCCAGCAGTACAATGACATCAAGGTCACGACTCTAAAACTGTCAAAGTAGCATAGTTTAAAATAGCTGCAGGTACTCTGAATCTGTGAAAGCTCTCCCTCATCACTTATCTACCAGCATCATAACCAATACATTTCACCCAATACGATTACTGATATTTCTTTCATCTAATATCTTCCATGTGGGATTATTTTACATGAAAGTATTAAACATAACAGACATCATTTTCAAATAAAAGTAAATCAATTCTGACAAACTAAATCTGTCTTGTAGCGTGTGGAGAATATTGTAAAGGGATTACAACCCAAACCTAATGCAAGACAATGTTTTCCCAGAACATTTCCTGCCATGACAAGCAAACAATAAACAAGGCATTTATTTCACCATCATGTCAGCCCATCAATAAATCATTGTTACAAGCAATCTCCAAGAAGAATCGTCAATACTTTCAATCTCAAATAAGAAGGCTAATCATTTACAGCTGATGAATCACTATCTCCAATCTCATCAATATGTGGAGTAAAGTAACCCTTCCTCTTCTGTACCAGCCAGCCAGCCGTACCCACACCTTCTCCCCCCCACTGAAAATAAACAGCTAAATGTTGGCAGACTTGTCAGTTATTTCTGTAACCTTTACACAGCATTAATACCTGAGCTAATCATCCTGTTCTTAAGTGATGTAAGACGAGGTATGACTGACACCAGATCTCCTTTTGTCTCCCACTTGCATTGCTAGATCCTCCTCCTCCTCCTGAATCTTAAACTTAAATGATCTCCCTGTTGGAACACTGATCTTGCATGTCGCCAACAGCGTGGGTGGCACTTGTTACTTTCACAGGTGTGTCACTACCCCATGTTAAAACTGAAATACTTTCCTACTCAGCACAAATAAGCCCAACAATGTTCTCTATATCTACAAAGATTTGGTAAGGAAGATCCTTCCATGTCATTATCAAGCAGATCTTGAATAAATACAGTAGAACAAGGATATATTTGTTTGTTTGTTTGGTGTTTAACGCTGCACTCAGCAATATTCCAGCTATATGACTGCGGTCTGTAATGATCAAGTCTGGACCAGACAGTCCAGTGATTGACATCATGAACATCTATCCACGCCCTTGGGGTCGATGACATGCATCAACCAAGTCAGCGAGCCTGACCACCTGTACCCGTTAGTTGCCTCTTACGACAAGCATAGTCACCTTTTACAGTAAGCATGGGTTGCTGAAGACCTATTCTACCCCGTATCTTCACGGGTCGAACACGGATATAACGAACAGGAATAGAGCGATTAAACGGATACAACAAACCCCAATTCATCTCCTATACATTATCATATAAAATTTACATACAATTTCTTCCGAACGTTGCATCAATTATTTTTTCAAGTTGTATCATTGGGTACTTTTTAACTGAATCACCGGTAGATGCGGGAGGAAACGTGTACAAACGTGTATGTGTATTGTGTTTTAGCCCAGATGGCGGATGTTTCCAAGCGAAAACGTATATATAAAGAACAACATATGTAACAAACTGATTTCTTTGGTCCCTTGTAGTTGGTTATATCCATGTTCTACTGTACGGACATACAGACATTCCTTTGCTGGTTACAACTTTAGCTTCGGAATGTTTGTTCCTAGACTCATTCAATGGAACCAATTTGTCATGGAGAAGTTGATAGTATTTTGTGAGCTGTTGTTTCGTCTCTGACTGTAAGTGTCTACTCAAGTAGGTCCTGTCTTTACATCCACAGTATGCACTTGTCTGTTACCATCAGCTAGCAACATGTCCTCTTGGAAACTATACAAATACCCTCAGTTTACTGGGGTCAGAAATTAGCCAGTTTTCTGGGGTCAGAAATTAGCCAGTTTTCTTTCTCTTATGACTCTTCACAAGGAGACAGAAGAAACAAATTCCAAGATGGTGTCAGTTTAGGAATTCTTTCCCAAGATACAACACAAAACCATAATTTCTATTCTTGACATTTCAGTGAGGACAGATTGTTACTTATCAACCCTGCAGGTGTTTTGTGAGATTAAAAGGGCAATTCAGGAGTGTTGATTCAACAACTTCATGTCACAAAAGTTCTTCAGGCAGATAGATTGATTCTACTTTACAACTAAGCATATTCAAAGACCCCCAAACCCATCACTATCATAGAGGGCACTGACACAAATGCATGCCTCTCTGCCACTCCATGAATTCCCGTGAAGATCCCGGCTATATGACGGCGGTCTGTAAATAAACGAGTCTGGACCAGACAATCCAGTGATTAATATCATGAGCATCAATCCACGCAATTGGGATCGATGACATGCATCAACCAAGTCAGCGAGCCTGACCACCCGATCCCGTTAGTCGCCTTTTACAACAAGCATAGTCACCTTTTACGGCAGGCATGGGTCGCTACCCCGGAATCTTCACGGGTGGTGTCCCATGAGGACAGTCACATACCTTAACATTCTGGCAAGAAAAATCCTCAAAGTTCAGGGTGCCAAAGGTTGATTTTCTTCAATGCAACATTGAAATTGCCATCTATAACTTAGTACTGTATTTGACATAATAAGCGCCCCGCTCTGACAAGCACCCACGGAGATATTTGCTAATATATTGGCTAGTGAACAATCCCAATAAGCACCCCTTCCGTTTGATCAATGTGCACAAGACTTATTTATTTGTGTATAATATGCACTCGCTTTTATTACGTGGAATACGGTATGCGCAATGATGAAACCAAGTGGAGTATGCGACATGAAACAACCACACATGTCGGATATGGGAGTAGGGTATAAACCCATACCGGGATCTTAAAACTACTGACTGGCATAAATCTAAGGTAATATAGAAGTCATATTGATAAGATTGCTATATGGATCTCAGAGAAGGAGTAAGCCACTTGCTCAACATCAATACTTACTCTCAATATGCACTACCACTTGTAATAATACATGTATCATCATCTTCATCAAGGTATTACAAGATGATATTTAGCCATTTTGTTTAATCCTTATGAACATATAACCCTTGCCATCTACAAAAGCTGGTCCATCAGTCGTCATCGTCATCATCATCATCATCACTACCAAAATCATCTCAGTTAATGGTCCTATTAATTATCTTACCACTCCCAGCTGCACGGTACACCGATCTTAATACAAGATTACACAGAATCCACAAGACACTTCCCTGTCCATTTAAGTCAGGCATTAGAATTCAACAAGTGTTGGAATGGCTGCAGCAAGTCAATGACATCTGTACAGACATTTCACTTCCATGAATGAATTGTGGAGGAGCCCCAACTGACCACCATGTAAATGCAACCTTGCTGTACTACAGAAGTCCCTGGGGCTGAGTTTAACTGGTAGTCAATTTAACAACTGTCAAGTGGCTTCCGTGGATTCCTGTGTGTAATCTACCTGCAGGTATTCTCTGTCACCTACTGACATACAGTTCCCTTATGTAAGTGGACATGCAGACATCCTAGCACCAGATTTGTCGTGAACAATGATGGTTGGAGGGTATCAGTGATGTCAACAGGATGACAAAAAACACTGTTTTAAACAAAAACTGGGTTTGTTATTTACCTCCTGGCATTTCCAGTCAGCATATCTGACTGCATGGGAGAATAAGATGATATGAGAGAGAGAGAGAGAGAGAGAGAGAGAGAGAGAGAGAGAGAGAGAGAGAGAGAGAGAGAGAGAGAGAGAGAGAGAGAGAGAGAGAGAGAGAGAGAGAGAGAGATCCCACCCAAAATGTCACCCTATGTACTATCCATACTCTGCGCATGTTCCCCCTCGAAATTCCATTATCTCACAATAATTTAAGTCTGATGTCGTCGTTTTCATCTGCCCAACTGTTTCCATGGGGGCATAAAAACATGGATTACCCTTTGGTATCAAATGTAATGGGCCAAAATATTTTTACAATTTTAATAACAACAAATTTAAGAAACCATTGTCAGAGGCCATTGTCACACGACTGAGAAAACACGCCACTCCCACACAAAGGAGAGACAACATTAGTGAACAATAAAATACTTGTATGCCAACTATTTCTAGATCATAGTTGCTGTTCATTATTTTTATTTTATAAACATGATAGCCTTTAAATGAAAGGTTAATTTATGAAAACTGATAGCCTGGCAGGTGCTTGTTCATCTTAAACATGATGAAGGACAAAGAGTGAGAGAGTCGCTGAGTTGGGTTTGACACTGCTATGAAGAGTATTCCAGTTATATCACAGTGTGTCAGATTGGTGTGGGAACAAAGCCCAAAGTGATGCAAGTCTTAGACATTCACCCCCTTGGTGAAACCCACATGCACGGGTATGTTGCTGACAAACCTAGATTTGAACATAAAATCATACATTCCTGGCATGCCCAAGGGACGCAACTGTGCACAGCCAATTGGGCCTGAGATGACACGGCCATCCGTCGCTCCCATTGACAAAGAAGAGAAAACTCATGATATTCAGACATCATTCAACTGGGACATGACTTTCAGAACATTTCAAAAATCAATATGCACGTATCTTATATAATTGGCCATTATTATTACTAGTTTATGTACGATTGTGCTGCTTGAATACACGTACAGTGAGATGTTCATATACCAGTGCCTCCCAAGTGAGCATACGGACAGAGTTCAATTGATTCGGTCCATTAATGGTGTGTAATAATGCATTTATCACCATCGGAAGCCATAGACATGCAAGTTTCAGTTCTACAAGTCAGGTATTAGCCCTTAACTGTGCGTGCCATCTTCAGAAGTAGGAATGTAGAAGAGTTTGTTCTAATTCAATCAATGAGAGAATGTGAATTCTGTAATGCACTTGAACATTGTATTTCAGATAGCACCAACCAGTGGGAGTGGGAGACCTCACAGCTGAAAAGTCCCGACGTGATACCAGACACGACCTTTACCTCTCCTGAAGAAATGCAACTTGTTGTTTCACTGAAGAGTCATGGCAGATAAGATGATATGGGAGCCAGCCCATCAGGCCCCTAGCTGGATCCTACATGTGTTGTGTGGCTTATGAATGGAATGATCAGTGGGGCAACCCTGAGCAGGATCTACCTCGTGTGGTGTCACCGTGTCAAGGAATACCCTCATGACTGTCTGCTTCTGGTGGCTTGCCGTGTCCCCGCAGGGTCCCGCGTCAGGATGTGCACCTGGCAGGCAGGGTGCAACGTGACAGGGGCAGCAGGGGCAGGGGGGAACAACACCACCTGGGTGGGCGTGGAGGAGAGAGAACACAACTGGAACGTTCTGCTGCTGGCGCCGGTGGTTGTGTTCGGGGTGGCAGGTAACACCCTAGTCATCATGGCCATATCGCTGGAGAAGCGGCTGCAGAACGTCACCAACTACTTCCTCATGTCCTTGGCAGTCACTGACTTACTTGTGTCCCTCATCGTCATGCCACTTAGTATCATCAACGAGATTACAGGTGAGTCAGGAAATGTTTTGTACTAGTGGCCAGATGTTAATCAATATATATATCATAAGGAGACACACAACACAGGTGATAAGTCTCTCACATGAGTATCCAGTCAAATTCATACTCCATCGAGAAAAATAACTTATGGTAACATGTACAAAAGGTAACTTTTTATTTCCTTTTAGCAATATTCCAATAAAATCAGGAATATCTACAATAACAATACTTTTCATGGATTATCTGCCTCGTAGTAAGAACAGGTTGAATGTGCAGTAAGTTACCCAGATATTTATGATTTGTTAACACATTATAAACAAAAAATGGTTTCCATTTTTTTATTTCATAAAAGGTTGCCACTGTCATTGGACTTAATCATGATCAGTGAAATAATTTGTGGTGGTTAGGATTGCATTCATCCAGAAACATATCCAACATATATATGATAACAGTACTTTTAGAATATTAATCAAATTCACTGTAACCTTTTCTGGTTCCAAGTTACACTTGACAACACCATATGTTACAAAACATTGATACACTGTAGCCTGGGACAAGCCCAAAGACAGACACCACTACATGGTACCAAAGGGCTTAATTAACTTGTGCTTGTATAAACTCATTCACAAGATAATGAGGATGAGAAAAGATGGCATCACCGAACACTGACAGAGTTACAAAAAAGCTTACGTAAGAATTCAATGATGATTTGTTAAAGTATCTATTTCTGAATTCTAACAGGGGAAAGAAAACATCTTTAAGTGCAAAATCTAAAAGAACAATCCCAGATTTAAAAAATGTGACCGGGGTGTGCCCATAGAAATTCACTAATGGTGAAATCAGATTGACTTAAAATAGTGCAGTGTAATTTCATTCTGGTGAAGACATGATGGAAGAAATAAAGAGCACATCACGCAAAAAAAACTTCTAAAAGCCTACTTAAAAAGCTCTCAAGAAAAATGTTCATTACCATCCAATCCAGAATTTTATTTACCTAAATGCTTGAAATCTGCTCTTTTGCCCTGGAAATATCACCATTATTTTGGAATGGAAAGAAGTGCTTTCCTAATCAATGATGGGCTGTTCCCTTAAACTTTACTCCATGTCATGTGTGTTCTTCGCGCCAGGTATCCGATGCACTAACTGATTAAGCATAATTTATCCTCGTCTTACAATAAACAGCACATGCACAATCATGTACAATCAAGGAATCTTATGAAATACCTGAAACTGAACCATACCAGCAGGGTTTTCAAATGATTGACATGTGGATATGCCTCTCTCTGTGTGAGGTTCGGAACTACAGGTAGATATGCTTGAAGCCACGGGGAGGCCCAAATTCATGGTTTTCATCATTTGTGATTCTTGGAGCTTTTAGCAATGCGATTTAGTGATTTGAGGTAGTTTTTGGCAAGTGTCTAAACACAAAAGGCTGCCTATCACTTATCAGTTGATGAAGCACCACGTTACAGCGATAAATCGAGAAGTAAGGAGAAATTGTGAAGATTCATGTGTGGATTTATGGGATATTCTGCCTGCATCAACCATAAAGTTGGATGGAAAAAGCCATCTGAATGTTGCCGAGAGCTGCACTACTGCAATGTTGTATGCTCCATGGAGCAATCACAAAGTGTTTTACTGCACAAGACCCCACATGAAATGGTAGTTCTCAATTCCAGTTGGATGAGGAGTTAGTAGCCTTATATCTTCATAACTCACCAAGTCACGAGTCCAAAAAGTGAACACCCAATGCAGTGTAAGTCTGGCATAAATATCCCTCAGATTCAACACAAATTATGAGCAATTTCTAATGTTTGAAGGCTAGAGCATAAAGAAGTTCCATGGAAACATTGTGAGCGGAAATTTGTGTGGCAGCATGAACAGATATTTCAAAATGTTTAATTTAGCTGTAAATTAATTGCTAACTTCTTACCATGCAAACAGATACGCAAAAACACACATTCTATTCACACATGTTTATCCAAAGTTAATTACAGCAATTAGACTTCAAAGACTACCAATTCATGAGCAGGGAAATATGTGTGGTGGGATTACACATGCTGCAAGGTTATAATAACACATTAATTACACAATATCCAAATAAATTATATCTGCAAGTTACAGTGGAGAGAGAAAAAGGTCGTTTAGTCCAAAACAAACCCACACATAGCAACTACAACAATATTCCGCAACACAAAACATTCAAAGCCATGATGATTATAGAAGGCATGTAATGTAGGGTTACTGAGAGCATTTGGCACCACCTAGCATAACTTGTAAATTATTTCTCTGTTTCAAATACAAACTGATCCATTCCTGGCTAGAAAAGGCACATTTTTGACATTGTATTTAGTATAGGAATTACATAATTGTGAAAAGTCAGAACTCGGAATAGCAATTTATTTGGAGAGCTTGAAATATCAATTCTGCTCGACATCAAAGCTTTTTCAAATCGTTACAAAGGAACGTGTTGGAATAATAACAGTCCAGGCAATCAAGAGTTTGTGACCTGCCTCCACTCATCAATAGTGATTTATTGCTTCAATGATCAGCATTGACTTTTAACACTTGACTTCACGAATCTCGTAATCGGTAGAAACACTCAACAAATCCACGGCCTGGTCAATGTCTACAAACAGTACAGACGTCATTGTTTTTAATGGTTTAAGTTAGTTTTGTCAACATCCAGTGGCTTTTTACCTTACTCTATCTGTTATTTTACCCGCCATTCATCACTGTGGGTCAAGTGACTTTCATCAATGTCGTTTAATATAAAACCCTTCTGTTGACTTCAGAGATCACAAGCTGTACAGACTTTCAAACCTACAGATTGACACCCCTGGGCTGTAATTTGTACCTCATGCAAGAAACAAGAGTTCACTATTCAACTAGATACAATTCGAGAAATTATTTCTAAATTGATATCTTTCAATTGTACTAATTGTTATCCTTTGTGAGAGAAGGAAGAAATGATTGTTGGAAAACGATATCTGTGTCAACAGCTGAACCATTTGTATCAATTGATATGACAACTGAAGGATCCAATGAATAACATAGCAAAATGTTATCTCTCAAAGGACGAGCTAATGAAATGTCTTCACTGTGGTGACTTGCATCGTTGCGGGGGCACGGGTGGCCCAGTCGTCTAAGGCACCGCGATTCGCTGTGCAGAGTTGCGTCCCTTGGGCACGCCAGAAACCTATGATTGTGGGTTCGAATCCCGGTTCGCCCTGATTATGTTTCTAGGTTTGTCAGCACCATACCCGTGCTCGTGGATTTCACCAAAGTGGTAAACATCTGAGACCTGCATCACTTGGGGCTTTCCTCCCACATTAAGCTGACACGCCGCGATGTAACTGGAATACTGTTAAAAGCGGCGTTAAACACAACTCACTCACTCCATCTTTGCAGTTAATATATTTTTCCCAGCATCCTTCATGACCTTTCCAACAACAGAGACATACAAACAATGATAAAAACAACTTGTGAAAATCTACTTTGTTCAATACGGCAGCCTTTATCTTTATAGGCAGACAACCTTGGGAGAGCACATCTAAAGAGGTATATGTATTGATATATTTTTAACAAATCTGAAGAAAATAATATTATTATGCAAGCTGTCCATTTCATCCCTGAACATGTAAGTCTTACCTAAGACTCCTTTAATCCTATAGGAAGTCTCCTACAATCGTGCACCCTGGAGAGCTACTTAGTTTTAGGACTCGTTGATGGCAGCTCTTGATTCCTGTTAATTGTATTGTGCATGTTCGTTATTTCACAAATGGGAACAATAAACTCCCTGTTTATGATAGGCATTTTCTCTCACCAAACTGCTTCTTATTAATTACTGATCAAAGTCTTCACTTGCATTTGACTGGGAACAATAGATCTAAACGGTAAAGTTAGCGCCGTGACTCAAACTAATCAAATAATTCAACAGCATCAAACGCTTCAACAGCCTGCTGTTGGTTTAGTTTTCATCAAGGGAGGATATGATATTATCAAGAAGCTCTATTCAGGAAGGACGCCTACACAAAACTATTGGAGCGGACTTGTTTGATAGCACAACTGTTGGCAAGTGATCCTCAAATTGGGAAACATGGTGATATTCTCTTACGATGTTAGTGGGTTTGCTGGTTAGATTGGTCAGGGTCAGTGATTTGTCTGATATAACTATTTCAATTTCATGACTTTCCCACCACCCAGCTAAATCACTGTCAATCTTTACACTGATCACAGTGTAACCTATCACTCCAGTAAACGAAGGGGGCTTTGAGGAAAGGCAGTCACAGGACATATCATAATACTCCCATAGAAGATTCTCATCCTATCTGACTTTCAGTTAACCTTCCATAATTATGTTTCATTTAGTGAAATTTTTTCCAGCTATTTAAAAAAAAATAATTATGACATGAATTTATGAGTGAGTGAGTGAGTATGGTTTTACGCCGTTTTTAGCAATTCTCCAGCAATATCACGGCGGGGGACACCAGAAATGTACCCATGTCGGGAATCGAACCTGGGTTTTCCGTGTGACGAGCGAACGCTTTAACCACTAGGCTACCCGACCGCCCCCATAAATTTATGAATAATCATATCTATATTTCCATCTATTAAATACTATCACAATACTATCAGTGATGTGCCTAATGAAAATAGGGAATTCAAGGTTTGGGGGGGTGTTAATGTACCTTTTAAGATTTCAATTTCAAATCACAAGATTGAGGCTTTGATCAAGGGTATTTCAATTTCATCTCATCCTGGATCATAGTGAAAATGACCTTTCTTGACTTTATTAGAGTTCCAATAAAATCATGTCAGCTTTAGTTTTATCAACATTTGACAGACAAATATATCAAAATTACACTTTAACAGCAATGCCCTGAAGAGGAATGAATACCCATTCCAACTTAGCCAGCAAATTGACAAATGTGAAAATTAATCCATTCCAGCTACAAGATCTCATTTTTCCCTTTCCTCACAAGACTGTGTACAAACAGAAAGAGAAATTT